TTTGTATAAAGTCAAAATTTAAACCAAAATAGTGACTTCCTCCAAGAGATGGTTTGGGATAATTTTGCCGCCTCTGCTGAGCTAGTTCTCTAGATAATCTTAGCTTTTGTTAATGAACAGGAACTGCTGCGATCTTCAGAAAATTCAGACAAACAAATATTTCAGATTGTAAAGTAAATACTTTACAATTGGCAAGAACAAGATTTAGTTTCTCTTCTCAGATAAGGAGTCAGGAAACAAATGGAAAATATTTTTGAGGCAGAATCTCAAAGGGCGGGAATAGAGGAAGGATATTCAGATTACAAACGGAAGTGCCTAATAGGGATGTGGTGGGTTAATTTCTGCAGGTCAGAGCCTACTTTTGACTTATGTTGAATGACTCAGGCAACTTTCCAGACAATCACCACCAGGATTTGTCATGGAATAAAGCGGACAAAGGACCTGCCTTTCTCAGAAGACAAAATGCTCAAAACTCTGAACCCAACAGCCACCATGTCTGGATTGGAGAGTTTCAAATGCACTGTGGAAAACCAGACCAAAAAAAAAAATAGAATTAAAAACTGAAGTGTACTGCTCTGTTGCAGGCTGTCCTCGGCAGGTCTATCAGCAGCACCAGGCAAGCCTGACAGAGGCCCACCTTCTGATGGCATCTTCCCCAACGCCCTGTTCATGCCTGGGTTATTACTCACAACGCAAGCCTGGGGCTCCAGATAATGGGCCTTGGCCTCCAGGGCCAGGGAGCATGCTTTTTTTTCCTGCCTTTCTGGGAAAGTTAAGGTTGAACTGCAGAGCCTGACCCTGAGCAGGCCCTTGGTATTCCCCTGAAGATAGGGAGGGGTTTAGGGGTGGTTTTGTTTTTTTTTTTTTAAACTGACTCGGGTTCATTTCTGAAGCCTTTCTGTGGCATAAACATCTGGCTGTTTCAGAGAGCACGAAGAAGCTGGAATTGATTTCTACCTTGGTGAAAGCTGTTGGTCGTTGGTGCTGAACAGAAGTCTCAGCCCGGCAGGAGCAGGTTTGTGCCAAGCCTCAGACACAGGCGCAGGGAAAACGATAAGGACGACTCCAGCGTGCACTTCAAGATGAAGCTAAGGAGTGCTTCTAACACAAACAGCCGCTGCCCACTGACCAGCGGACCCAAGAGGACTCTTGTAGCTAGCACTGCGCATGCGGGGGTGAACTGGCTTCCCCCAGCACAGCTGACTTTCCTGCTGGTGCTCTGTGCCCTGCAGACACCCCCCGGGAGCACTGAGGTAGGGGCAACGGTGAAGTTGGTCTGTCCTAGATCAATGTACCAATAGGACAGTCACGTGGTGGCCACCTAAACAACCCAAACCTTGGGCACTAGGGATCTAATCACATTTTAACATCTTAGCAATTAGTGGAGTGTTGGGAATTGTTATTATTGGTAATATAGAAAGGCTACTGATTTTTGTAGATTGATTTTATAACCTGCCACTATACTGAAAGTCTTGATCAGTTCTAGGACTTTTCTGGTGGAACTTTTGGGATCTCTTTAGTATATCATCTGCAAAAAGTGATAGTTTGATCTCTTCTTTTCCAATTAGTGTTCCTTCTCCTGTCTTATTGTTCTAGCAAAAGTTTCAAGCACTATGTTGAAAAGGAGTGGAGATAGTGGACAATTTTATAACCTGCCACTATACTGAAAGTCTTGATCAGTTCTAGGACTTTTCTGGTGGAACTTTTGGGATCTCTTTAGTATATCATCTGCAAAAAGTGATAGTTTGATCTCTTCTTTTCCAATTAGTGTTCCTTCTCCTGTCTTATTGTTCTAGCAAAAGTTTCAAGCACTATGTTGAAAAGGAGTGGAGATAGTGGACATTGGACATCCGGCTGGATTTTGTCAAATGCCTTTTCTGCATCTATTGAGATGAAGATGTGGTTTTTGTCTTTGAGCCCATTTATATGATTAATGACGTTTATAGACTTGTGTATATTGAACCATCTCTGCATCTCTGGAATAAAGCCTACTTGATCACAGTGAGTGATCTTTTTGATATACTTGTGGTTTGCAAGCATTTTGTTGAGAATTTTTGCATCTATGTTCATTAAGGATATGGGTCTATAGTTTTGTTTTTGGTTGTGTCTTTACCTGGCTGTGGTATTTGATGCTGGTTCCATAGAAGGAATTTGGGGGTTCTCCCTCTGTTTCTATCATTTTGAATAATTAATATTTAAATGTCTGGTAGAAATCTGATGTAAATCCATCTGGGCCTGGGCTTTTTTTAGTTGGGAGGCTTTGTATTACTGTTTCAATTTCCTCATATGTTTTGGGTCTGTTTAAACTGTTGATCTCTTCTTGGTTTAACTTTCATGATTCCCATGATTTCTTTTGGATTTTCAAATTTAGTAGCGTATAGGTTTTTTAAATATTCCCTTATAATGGTCTGGATCTTTTGGGTGTCTGTTGTGATGTTTCCCTTTTCATCTCTGATTTTGTTGATTTGGATTTGCTCTTTCTTTCTTTCTTTTGGTTAACTGGACTAAGGGTCTGTCTATCTTGTTTAGCTTTTCAAAGAACCAAATCTTAGATTCATTGATCCTTTGTATTGTTTTCTTTGTTTCTATTTCACTCATTTCTGCTCTGATTTTTGTTATTTCTTCCCTTCTGGTGGGTTTGGGTTTCATTTGTTCTTGCCTTTCCAATGCCTTGAGTTGTAGTAGTGAGTCATTTATTTGGGCTCTTTCTAATTTTTTAATGTAGGCACTTAGAGCTATAAACTTCCTTCTTAGGACCACTTTTAATGTGTCCCAGAGGTTGTGTTGTGTTGCATTGTCCTTTTCATTGAATTCCAGGAATTCTTTTATTTTTTTTCTTAATTTTTCCTTTGACCCACTTGTTGTTTAGGAGTGTGTCATTCAATCGCCACGAGTTCGTGTAGTGACTGGGCTTTGTCCAGTGTCAATTTTGAGCTTTATTGCATTGTGGTTTGATAGAATGCATGGGATTATTTCAGTTGTTTTGTATTTTTTGAGGTTTGTTTTGTGGCCCAGTATGTGATCAATTTTTGAAAAAGTTCCATGGGGTGCTGAGTAGAAATATTCCTCGGTGTTTGAATGGAATATTCAAAAGATGTCCCATTTGATGAATAGTATCATTTAATTCAGACATCTCTCTGTTTATTCTTTGTCCAGTTGACCTGTCTAATAGAGACATTGGGGTATTGAAGTCCCCTACTATTACTGAGTTGGGGTTAATCTGTGCCTTAAAGTCCTGTAGTGTTGTTTTTATGAATTTGGATGCACCAGAGTTTGTTGCCTTTATGTTAAGGATTGTAATATCTTCTTGGTTAACTGTTCCTTTGATCAGAATGAAGTGACCCTCCTTATCTCTTCTGATTAGTATTACTTTGAAGGCTATTTTGTCAGATATTAGAATTGCAACCCCTGCATGTTTGTGCCATTTGCTTGGAATATTCTTTTCCATCCTTTTACCTTAAGATAGTGCCTGTCCTTGAAGGTGAGATGGGTTTCTTGAAGACAGCAAAAAGATGGATATTATTTCTTAATCCATTCACTTAGCCTGTGTCTTTTGACTGGGGAGTTCAGTCCATTAATATTTAAGGTTATTATTGAAAGATGTACATTGGTTGCTGTCATTTTGATTGCTGTTTGTGTTCTCTGTGTAATTTTCTGTTTCCTCGATTATACCTTTATTTATTTCCTTTTGTTGCCCCTGGGGTATAGCTGTTTCTCTCTCCACTCTCTGTGTTGCTTCAAGTATTCTTTGAATGGCTGATTTTGTGGACATGTATTCTTTCAGGTTTTTCATGTCACGGAACATTTTTCTTTCCCTCTCAACTATAATAGACATTTTTGCTAGGTAAAGTATTCTTATTGTAGAAATTTAGGAGAAGAGAGGCCACCCCTGCTCCAGCAGATGGTTCTAAACTCATGCTCATATTGACAGGGGACTTAATTTTTGAAAGAGTACATGCAGTTGGGAGGAAGAAGTGGTGAGGGTGAATAGGGAAGAAATTGTAAGGGAGAAGTCGGGGGTGGATTTGCTCAAAACACACTATGTGCATATATAATCAAAACACATTATCTCCTAAAACAGTGAAAAAGAAGAAAAGTAAAATGAAAATGTAATGCTCTTTATAGTTCATAAATTTGGCATTATGGAAGTTAGTGGCGTAGTTATTTTCCCGATTCTCCATAA